TAAAATCTGGTCACCCTACCTTACATGCTAAGAAGAGGAAATGCAAAAAGAGCCAAGGATGAGGGCGCAAGAGAGTAGAAAAGCTGGTCCCTACCAGATGTACCCTCTTCTTCACTCAAGTGTGCAAAAATCACCACAAGCACAGTTTAACTGGCTTCTTAGTGAAAACTAGCAAGGGGCTGAGCTCCATAACCAAGTTGACTTGGGTTGAAATAGAAGCAACACATTTGTAACCCAGGTGACCTCTAAAGAAGGCTTAATTTCTAGGTTCTAGTAGGGGTTGGGAAGGCATTCCTAACAAGCTCCTGAGATGACTCTAATCCTGATGGTCTGGATTCCAGAAACATTGCCCTAGGTCGTCTTTTGTTAAGTATTTAATAAATCTGGAAGAAGAATCAGACAGGAACAGAATTATTCAGTAAGGTTAAGCTCAGTAGATATCATGGGGCCACGGAAGAGATGCTTTTCTAACTCACTGACTTCCTAAGGTAGGAGATTTCTGAGCTGAGTTTTAAAGCATAAGGCTGCAGTGAGGTGTAAATGATGGCTGGACCTGAGGGGCAAAAGCACAGAAGTGAGAAGCAGCATGCATGTCTGTGCCTCTGGAGAGACGTGGGGACCCAGGGGTGAGAGATGGGAGAGGTATGCAGAGGCCACACCAAGCACCCTGGACTTGTAGTGTAGGATTTGGGGTGTGGGCAGGGAGACAGCAGAAAACAAGGTGAATTTGCATGTTTGATCACGAGTGACCAAAATGGAAATGAACACGTGAACAAGAAGATGGTAAAACTACCTCCACTCATTAGGAGTTCATCATTGAACAGCAAATGAGTGAGAATTTGAAAATTCTTGTTTAAATGTTTTCACCGTTACAATCTTCATTTCAGCGTGACTAAGACAAAAACAATCATTGAAGAAATGAGAATAAAGGCTTGCTCTCTGAGTTACGGAATAGGGCATGTCCCCTCATGGGTGTTCAAGATGACCCACCAAGATGAGGCGACACAACCATGAACGTCTCCAATTACAAATGACACCATAAATAAGGTCTCTGATGTTTCTAGTTAGGGTTTTTATTGGCTCAACTCATTATACCTTTGACAGTTAAATATATTATAAACCAACCCATCAGAAATCATAACATCATCTCACTTTCATTATTGACCACTACCAAAGTAGGGCTGGAGGCAAAGTAATGAAGGATGAAAACGTACCATCTGCAAAGCTCTCAATACACTCAGCAAGTCTTAAAACATTTCTCTTTTAAATATGTAATCTTCACAAGAAAAGGGAACGTGTCTGGCACTCAAGTGATAGTTATTAAATGGGTTAATAAATTGCCCCAGAAAGTGTTGTCTGTAGCATGGATGTCACTGACACCTTCACCACTGCTTTTTATTGCAAAGTGCTCTGGAAGGCTTCCCTTTTTCTGAATTAAAAATTTGTCAAGATATTTGACCTGATGGTGCTATGTAACGGTTGGCTTACAGGGGTTCTTGTTACTTTTAAACATTTGAAAGGGCTGCTTAGGATCCAATGATCGCGATTATGGTGGTTTTTAATGCCCAGCACAGCATTAAAACAGCGGGCATTTTTCGTTGAGGTGAGGTTCCTTTAGTTTGGTGAAACTGAGCTGCAGTTACGCACAGTACTCGCTGACTTGCAGCCTTATACTGACGGTGTGGTGGGGAGATTGTGCCTGGAAAAACGGGAAGGGATTAACGCTACACTCGCATTCCACAGGCGAGTTTCTCAAGAGGAAAAGTGCTCTGTTGCATACGATTATTCACTCTTTGTGCTTACACCGTAGCAGAAATCATTCTTCGTATAGCTCACCTAAGAGAGCAATAGTTTGTGGGGGCGAGCATTAATGTGTGGAGAGGAGAGACAGACGCCAAGATAGAACTGCTAAAGATCTAGTTCTCTTTCCTGCCAAACCGCCTCTTCCTTGAGCAAGCAAAGGCGGAGAGGATCCCTCCTCGACCTGCTCCTGGCGGTTTGGAAATGCCAGTTTGCTTCGTCGGTTCGTATTTGCTCGGAAACCCGGCTGCGCACGGGCCCCGCCCGCCGAGGGCCGGCCTTTGTCCTTTCTGCCTTCCTATTGGCTGGGGCCTCCGTGGCCCCGCCCCCGAGAGCACGGGCTCTGTGACGTACGCACCAACGTCTCTACTGGTATAAAAGGCCCGCCGGGCCGCGCTCTCCTTCAGGAGCCGCCGGCAAGGGGGCAACGAGGAAGCTTCTTAGAGCATAGCCGGGAAGGAGAAGGTGGGGCGAAATAGGAGGGAAGCCCCGGTGTGCTACCGCGGCCGGAGTTACGTCCTCGGGGCATCTCGGGTGCCGGAAAAGGACTGACCCTTAAATGTCCGGGAAGGCGGAGGGTCCCCGAAGTGGAAGGCCTGGGAGAGGGGCTGGCCCTCCGCGGGGAAGGCGCTTAGACTGCCAGCCCCCCTGGGACCCTGGGGGGAAGTCATGGGGGCCCCCGCCTGTCCTGAGGAAGCCAAGGCGGAGTCGGCGCGCTGGGTCTCCTACCCACACTTCATTGTCCTCCGAAACAAATGACAAAAGGAGTACGGACCGCAGGGGCCCCCAGCCCCCAGCCGAGGCCTTTGGGAATGAGTCTTGTGTGCCATTTATTAAGTTTCTGTGGCTCTGAAGTCTCTCTCATACCCAAAGTCATCGTTTTCTCGTTCCGAGCGTTACACCTGTGGGAGTGGGTAAATGGAAGTGTACGGTTTGGCGGGGAGGGTTTATCTTTTGTTAGTTTTTGACAGGTATTCTTGAAAGAAGAGATTTGGGGAGAATTATTAAGCTGTCACTTCGGAACATCCCTAACGTCTCTATTTGTGACTGCGCGTTTTGACGGTTGATGTAGGTAGACTTGGTGCCACGGTAATTGCCCAAGTTTGCTCAGGACAGTTCTTTTGGTTGCCCTTCAGCATCCCTGGTCCCTAGACGTTCCCAAAGAGGGACGAGATCCAGGACCAAGGGGGTGGCTGCTGTCCCCGCGGTCGGTAACTTTAACTGCCCGCCGGCTCCTGCCAGTCGTTTTCCAAACGGCCTACTGTTCACCTTGGAGTTCCTCATAGAAAATTATTTTTATGTACAACATCTGTATAGTATAAGTGTATATATCACAGAGGTATTGTTATCATGCTGCCCATGTCCCTTACATTGAGTGTGTCGGCCTGCCAAAGCTGGGCTTTGGTTTTCTGAGATGATTTGAGTAAAACACCTGTTAAATGAGACTCTGATAGGAAGTTTTCACTAAGGGATTCACTACATTTAACCACTTAACTATATCCTCAAGGGATTTGCTTCGGCCTATATGGATTCATTTTGTCCTGATGTGTTTTGGGGGGAAAGGGGGTTGAAATGTCTTAAGACTTTTTTTGCCGGTCCCGGTGACTCACACCTGTAATGCTAGCACTCTGGGAGACTGAGGCAGGTGGATTGCCTGAGGTCACAGGTTGGACACCAGCCTGAGCAAGAGTGAAACCCTGTCTTTAAAAATAGCCAGGCGTTGTGGCGGCTGTCTGTAGTCCCCGGTACTCCAGAGGCTGAGGCAAGAGAATGAATGGCTTCAGCCCAGGAGTTTGAGGTTGCTGTGAGCTGTGGCACCACAGCATTCTATCAGGGGTGACAAAGCTGGACTCTTTAAAAAAAAAAAAAAAAAAAAGAAAGAAAGAAAATGAGTTCTTTAATATAAAGCATTTTTCTATGACACATTAGTTATTTTATGTTAGATAGAGGCTGGCCCCTTGAATAATTGTAATCAACTGTGCCACTTAGCCCCATGAAGTTACTCTATTTACTGTGGAGGTGTTTTTGAGGATATGGTTCATTATATCACACTGTTCTCTTTAGAAAGACCTCCGGGAGAAATTTCTCCTGGGCCTCAGTATCCAGAATAGCTGTGATTCTCCCAAGAAACATTTGGGAGAATGATTCTCCCTGAATCATTTAATCATCTGTTTCCTATTTTGTGATGGCTGCTCGGTGGCTTGGGGACTGATCTGATACCCTTCTCTATCAAAGTGAAGGGCCTATTGCTTGCATTGTGGTGCTAACTTTACCTGCTGCTTCATCCTATTTTTTCCTGTCATTTTTCCCTTACCACGGAATAGAATTTCTTAAATATTTAATTTTGTTCTAATTTTGTGTATTTATGAGCCTTAGACAATTTTTTAGAGACAGAGCACATACACGTACATACAGACACAGTTTTGGGTGACAGTGTCTACAGCTCTGAGAATTAAAAGTTGGACTGTACCCTTGGTACCATTTAAAAACCAAAAGGCAGAAGGAAGAGAAGGGAAAATTAGGGCAGAGGTTAAAGAAGGACCTGAGAAAAGAAAGGTCCTCTGATGATGAGTAGTATGATGATGCCGCAAATAACTTAGGCCTGTTCTGATTAACGTTAAAAACAAAATTAAATTTAAGACTAAAAAATGCATACTTAAACATGAGCAATGTGTCTGAGGATATATTTCAAAAAATGAGAGGAAAAAAGACCTTTTCTTCTGTAGAAACACAATTTTGTGACTCTGTATTTGATGAATTATAGAAAAGCCGGTGCCTGTGTGGTTTGGAAGAACCTTATTTGGAAACAGATACATGAGCTGAATGTATCTTTCTTGAAACATTACTATACAAAATATGCAGTAAATTTTACTGAAGCAGATTTTTGTTGTTGTTGTTGTTCTTTATTTGATTTTAATATCATCCTGAGGGGGTTGGTAGGGCTCTTCCCATGGTTTTCTTTAAAAGTACTACAGTGCTCATCTTCACATAGTAAGCTGTCAGTATTAGGGTTGATTTAAAAACAATGGTCCTCTTTTACTAGAAATACCTAGATTCTAATACTTAATAAATTATTTCTAAGACTTTTGTTTTTCTTCATTATAGTTGAGATTACAGACATCCTGCCAAAATGATTTCTTCAAAGCCCAGACTTGTCGTACCCTATGGCCTCAAGACTCTGCTCGAGGGAGTTAGCAGAGCCATTCTCAAAACTAATCCACCAAATATCACCCAATTTGCAGCAGCTTATTTTAAAGAACTTATTGCGTTCAGAGAAGGTTTGTTATTCAGATTATGTATTTGTTGCTTTGAAAAAGAAAGCATTTTAAATGAGGTGTTTTATGTATCTGTATTTGATTTCCTGTATTTATTCCTTCAGGGAATACTTCTCTGGATATAAAAGATCTGGTTAAACAGTTTCATCTGATTAAAGGTAAGTGCCACAAGTGGTGAGAGTTGCACTAACACTAGATAAATAACTGCATCATTACTAGCTTACATTCATACTTAAGAAGGGTGCCCACAAATATTTTTTGTTTAATCATACTGATTTTTTTTTAAATCAGTTAAAAAAAAAAAAAACCTGAGGGTTGACATTTTGGACGATTCCAAATCTTAGAAAGAAATTAGAAAAACTTGCCTTCTGCAAACCATTTGGCACAGTGAATATGTCTGAATACCTAGAACACTGTGAACGATGACTCAGACCTTTCCAACACATTATGCCCCATCTTTAGAGGAAGTACAGTGAACTCTGAGAGAAATGGATTTCATAGTAATACTCCAATTATAATGAGATATGTTGCTTAGGAAAACGGTTTAAACACTCTTCTTGGAAGACTTTTTTTTAAAAGATAAGGTTAACCACCCCATTTTTCTGCATTGGTGGTTTAACTACAGTCCAGGCTGAAGGACAGGAGATCAATAGGTATCTCTGACCATACTTTCTGCTCCAGGAGTCTTTGGATGAAGAGATAAGTTTTTCATAAGGAGTGGTCTCCTCCAGTGTATCTCAGGCACTGTGACATAGTGCTGTGTATTTGCTTAGAAGAAAGTTATATTTTGTGTGTCTATATGTAAATGTCTATTATGTGAATGTGACAGCATAAAACAGTGGATAGAGGAACAATGAATAAGTTGGAGGAGGGGAAGATAAGAAAAGGCATAGTTTACATAGATTCTATAAGTTCCCATAGAAAATTTGGGATCACTATAAGCAAAAGAGAATATAATGGTCAAATCCCAAGGAAGGGCACATATATGTCTGAAAGAATGGCAAAAAAAGAAAATGGAAACTCATGGTCATCATGGGAAATAACTAAATAATTCTTACTACATTGCCTGACGAACATTTTCAAGTGACCACAGAGATAGAAAAGGTAGAATTCTGTGAGTTATCAGCTACTTTTAAACCATCTTGGTGATGTTGAGAGCATAACCAAGATGGGGAGGAGGTAGGAACTTATAAGACCAAGGAAAATATAAAAATCCTATGGTTTGGCACTGCAGTGAAAGAGATACCCCAAACAGAAAGCGAGATTAATAACAGCAGGGGTCAACTTTGAAGGGGTAGGAGAATGGGATGCTGTGGTCCAGGAATATTTCATCATCCAATGTGTGGCACACGGGCACGTGGTGAGGACTTGAGGCCTGTTTTGCTTTTCTATGGTGTCAGGTATCATGAAAAGTATGCACGGATCTTCTTTTATGCTTATCAGCTTTTGTTAAGCTGATTAAGTAATGCGTGACCCAAACTTAATGGGTGACCACACTTAATGCGTGACCCAAACAACTGGTACTCTTCCAATGTGTGGCAGAAAAGAAAAAAGGTTGGACACCTCTGGAATTCCTTCTCAGTAGGAACTGGTGGCATTCTCAGTTCACCATTGGAAACAGGGCTGGGACTTGCTCACCTCATCAATAGGATGTACAGACAAGTGCAAGAATATTAACCACCCTTTCCTTCCCCAGGAGCCTGGTTTCCCAGGTAGCCCAAGTGATTATTGTTCAAATACTTCAGTATACCAGGCATAGTTACTGCATTTGAAAGTATGGGAAGTGTACAAGCATGCTGTGTTTGAGAATGCTGATACTTGAATCTTTATGGTAGAAGGGAACTTGTAACTTTTGGGTTTATTTACTGAAGAATTGATCCACCATTCAATTTAGCAAGTACACTAAACAAGTGTGGTTTGGGGTTTTGTTACAGACTAACAAAATTGGTGGAGCACCCATACTTTTGATGGTGATAAGGGGCAGTAAGTACCTGCTGCTTTTCTAATAGCTGAGGCTACTAGGGACAGGAATGTAGATACAGATAATCTTGAAAGCAAGCTCACAGCATGATTGTAGAAATAGATCACTCTTTTAGGTTCAGTATATGCTAGGAAAAGAAGGAAGAAGGAATAGAATTAATATTTATCAACTGTTTTGTCCTAGACACTTGTAATGTATTTAGTCAATTCAAACAACCTTAGGTAGGTCGGTTTAGGGATTACAGTAATCCAATTCCTAATCGCGTGGGTTCTTGAAAGCTCTAATGGTGAGTAAATTAGGGGGTTGGAGAATTCAGGAGCTTGTCGGGGAACACAAGTTGGAGGCTTGGAACTGGTGTGGGTTTTGTTGTTACACTCATTACCTTTACTGTACCACAGGCCCAAATTTGCTAGCAGAGGGCTGCCAAGACTTGGTGTTGAGGGTGGGCCTGCAGTGTCAGAGGGTGTTTCTAAGGGTCTGGGCTTCCCCTCAGGTTACAGCCTTCCCTGCCTGCCCTGCAGAGGGCATCTCTCTCCATGTTCTTGCCCCACATCTGGTGGCAGCCTCTCTCATCTCTTGTGACTCAGTGCTGGGGAGAGGGGCAGGGCAGGAGGTTCCCTTTTGCTCTGTGCCAGCCTCAGGCCTAGGCTGGCCATATGCACCTGGCCTCTTGGAGATGGGGCTTTCTCCCAGTGTTCCTTTCCTCCATCCGTGTGGCAGCCAGACTCTGCCATTCACCTATAGTCTCAGGCCAGTGTTGCCTGTCTCGGTCCTGATAGTAGGAGCCTCTGTTTGATTTAGGTATAAGATCTTGCCCTCTCTGGCCTTCTGTCTTGCTCCTGTGGAAAAGTGCTTCTGAGTAACTGAAGTCTCCTTGGGTCTGGAGTCCCAGGCTGTTCCATACTGACACGGTAGCCCACCTTTGGCCTTCATCAGTACATTACGGTTTTAGCTATATCTTCTTACCAGCTAGTGTGATGGCATTGTCTTCTCACTGGGTTCTGCCACAGCTGAGACTGTTATTGTATCTCTTCTCTCCCTGGAGGGCTGGTTCTCTTTGGAAATAAGGTTGCTTGGTTATTTTTTGACTCCAGCTCTTTAGACTCAAGAAAAGTTAAGATTTTGTGGTTTATCTGGTTTTACTTGTTTTGGTGGGAGCAATATTATTTGTAGCTTTCTGTGTCCTGAAGGGTACAAGTAAAGGTCAGGTTTCTCCCCTCTTCAGAACTCCCATTAATGGTACCTGTACTTTTTACCTATCAAATTTGTGTTATCTGTCCTGTCTCTCCTACTGGATGTAACATATAAGGTCTTACTAATAATTTTTGTCCTCAACAATGCCTAGTACAGTGTGTGACACATAGCACAAGTTCTAAGTCAAAGGTATTTGGGGTGGGAGAAGGGCTTTGCTAAAAATTAGGTGGAGAAGTCCTGAAGAGAAGTGAAGGTTAAGAAAATGAGATTATTGGCTC